ATATAAGTGAAAATAGTTATATCGAGGTTGCACTGTATAAAGAATGTATAATATATGCAGTTACGTCGACTTATAGAAAAAGACGGCACTAATTAATAAAGCGTTATCATTGGTCAGCGGAACGTGATCAAAGAGGCGGCCTCTTGATTGATTGTGCGTGTTTGATAAGTTATAAATAAAGAGTACGTGTGAAACCCTTTATTAAGATAAACGTCGGAGTCGGAGTCGGGAGTCGGGCAGTCGGGCGCGGGCGGGCTCGGTGTGTGTGATAAGATACAGATCAGTGTCTGCCGCCTGTGCGTGAATTTTCGAACGATGTATGCATGCATGTATTTAAAATTGATTGATTGCCGGTTTTTGTATATTACTTAATGTATGTATGAGTTTGGTGATATGTGTGGAATTTTTCGGTTGTGTCGTCGTGTTTTAATGAAATTGTGATTATTAGGTACGGCTATATCTATAATATGTATACACTATATTATTTACTTTATCTTGGAGCGTAACATCCGGTCTATTGTAATGGATGGTTTTCTTTTTGTCTGTCAGTATAGCACGGTCTGTAATTTGTATTTTCGAGAACGGAATTTGGTGTGTATTTGTATAAGTATATAGTGTGTATGTGTCTCTGGGATGAGTTTGTGTTTGATTGCTAATTTTTGGTGTATTATATTTACTTTCGACATTTTTATCATCTGCTATTTATTGTAGGTACTTTAATCATATATATTTTCGTGGAGGGAATGATAATAATATTATGTTTGGGTCATTAGGGGCTAGTGCGTGCGCGCGCGCGGCATTTTAAGTAATTACCTAACGATAATGATTATTCCTAAAATCCCTCTAATAATATTGTTTATCATTGATTCACGTCAACATGTAAACGATCAATGTTTTTGGAATATCATTATTATTATCATCGTCATAATCAATTTCATAACGAACAAAAAGAATAATATATTATATGCCCATTTATGATGAGTCAGGAGAGGGAGAGACGTGTTCGTGAAACTGTACAAAATATGAATTGTTTTGTGGCCCTGAAAAGGGCCTTTTTGTAAAGAAATGATGCGCGCACGTACAATGACGACGACACGACCATTTACTTCGAGCTGGTGTATTTGGTGACCGCTTTGGTGCCTTCGCTGACCGCGTGCTTCGCCAACTCACCGGGGAGCAGGAGCCTCACGGAGGTCTGCACCTCCCTGGACGTGATCGTGGACCTCTTGTTGTAGTGGGCCAGGCGAGACGCCTCGGCGGCGATGCGCTCGAAGATGTCGTTCACGAAAGAGTTCATGATCGACATCGCCTTACTGGAGATACCGGTGTCCGGATGGACCTGCTTGAGCACTTTGTAGATGTAGATGGCGTAGCTCTCCTTCCTCTTGTGCTTCTTCTTTTTCTTATCGGACTTGGAGATGTTCTTTTGGGCCTTGCCCGACTTCTTCGCCGCCTTTCCGCTAGTCTTGGGTGGCATTGTCGATGAGTACGTACGTTCGGTTCGAGGGTGCGAACTGAAATGATGCCTACCGGTCGCGCGCGCAGTATACATTCTTATTATCGACGCGTAAACGGCCGGAACGCGCACCAGTGTACTTATTATTCGGACCAATAGAAGCGCCCCGAGTTTTATACGGGAGTTGGCCGGGGGGAGAGAGCGGGGGGGGGCACGGTAGTTCGGTGCTGCCGCCCGTACCCCTCGCACCGTTAATATACATTTCTCAGATATTAGATGTTTTCTATCCTATAAGTTGACCCGAACAATCACCTATATCACCATACCAAATTTCATCAAAATCCATCCCTTCTGTCGTTTTTCCCTGATGCGGGGTCACACACAGACAGACGGATGGACGAAAATTTAAAAAAATATATATATATATATATATATATATATATTTATATATATTCAGCCTCTGTATCGATAATAATATCTATTAATTAAATTTTACGAAAAATATTTAATGTACAGATTCGGCTTAGTTACAACTATATTATGTGTATAGATTTTTTATAATATTTACATATATTACATTTTATTTACATTATTAGTTTAGGAGATGAGCCGGAATAAACGGACAGATGGACGGACGGACAGACAGACAGACAAAGATTTTAAACAGTTTCATATATGCATTTAAAAAAAAAAAAGAAAAATTTCCGTTATTTTAACATTACACACTCTTCAAATTTGTATATAAAACGCATTAAAAAAAAGTATCTTATTGAAAAAAAAAAGTGTATTATTTTAACATTACCAGCAGACTCACACGACACACATGACACACGACACACACGACACACATGACACACGACACACACGACACACATGACACACGACACACACACGACACACATGAAACACACGACACACACGACACACACGTCACACATGAAACACACGACACACACGTCACACATGACACACATGAAACACACGACACACACGACACACATGAAACACACGACACACACGTCACACATGACACACACGACACACATGAAACACACGACACACACGACACACATGAAACACACGACACACACGACACACACACGACACACATGAAACACACGACACACACGACACACACGTCACACATGAAACACACGACACACACGTCACACATGACACACATGAAACACACGACACACACGACACACACGACACACATGAAACACACGTCACACATGACACACATGAAACACACGACACACATGACACACACGACACACACGACACACATGAAACACACGACACACACGACACACACGACACACACGATACACACGACACACATGAAACACACGTCACACACGTCACACACGTCACACACACACACACACACACACACACACACACACACACACACACACACACACACACACACACACACAGTGTGTCGTGAAAATATACAAATACGCAAGCTAATTTTTGGCGCCAATTTTAATTTATTATATTATTTTTTTTGGCTGAATAACGTTTCACTCATTCGACCCGGCTGAATAGTGCTGCCACTTGTGTCAATTAATGTTGTAAGGGAGAAAAAAAAAAAAAAGACCATAACCCAAGCCAATTTTTGGCGCCAATTAGTTGTTACTCAAAATGGAGTTCGTGTGCGTGGTGTGTGTGAAAGTTTTGCCTTCTCTGCGATAAATGTTGGATTTTTTCTTGTAAGTTTTCATTGAATGTATTAAATATTATTAGAATTATTATATTTCTAATAATGTATGTGTAGAATATCTATTATCTAGTTAGAATTATGCGTATACGATGGAAATATGGATGGCGTCGGTGAGGTGTCCCTCTATCTCTCGTGCTTATTTTTCTTATTCGTTTTTTTTCTTTTCTTTCTTTAAATTCTTTAATAATATATTATAAAAAAATATTTTCTACGCATATATTATATTATCGTTTCCAAATCGAAACGTGTTTTATAATAATATTATACCAATTTTTAGTTTTTCAATACTGTTAGTAAGAACATTTATTGTAAATACATTTAGACGTAGTTGTTAATGAAACTGGCTTTGTTCGTAATGTATAGAAATATTTTGTGGCCCTGAAAAGGGCCTTTTTAATTTTCGTAGTACGATGATTCGCGTACGAATGTGATATGATGATATGCTGCGATCCTAGTTACACACGAGACACACTATCGTCGCACCATAGTCACACAACACAAGAGGCTTCTCAGGCTTTCTTCTCTGTCTTCTTGGGGAGGAGGACCGCCTGTATGTTAGGCAGGACACCGCCCTGTGCGATTGTCACGCCGGAGAGCAGCTTGTTCAGCTCCTCGTCGTTGCGTATCGCCAGCTGGAGATGTCTAGGGATGATTCTGGTCTTCTTGTTGTCTCGCGCCGCGTTACCGGCCAACTCTAGGACTTCGGCGGCCAGATACTCCATGACGGCCGCAAGGTACACCGGTGCGCCGGCACCGACGCGCTCGGCGTAATTTCCCTTCCTCAAAAGCCTGTGGATACGTCCCACGGGGAACTGGAGTCCGGCACGGTTCGAACGAGACTTTGCCTTTCCCTTCACTTTGCCACCTTTGCCGCGTCCAGACATGATGATAGGATGGAGAGTAGTTTCGAAAAGTTGTAGGCGTAATAATACACGCGACCAGCGTATAACGTAGTTCTGCACGGTATGCGATATGAAATAGCTAGTTCACGCATTTAAATAGTACATCGCGAGCATCGACAGTAGGTGGGGATGCGAGCGAGTAAGCGATTGAACGAGAGCTAGTACGGAATGGGACGAACTTACACGACACGGTCCGCAAGACGATGAGAGAGTCTACGGGGGCCGAAAGTTATTTGAGATTTTTTATTTATATACAATAATAAATTATGTATATTATATGTCAACCTTAAGGGCCTTATTGACCGGGATATTTATATAATAATTATTTTTATCTTATAATTTAGGCAATAATATTATAATTTAGGCGAAAATAACGCTGTCTGTCCGTCTGTTACCTTTTCACGCTTATATCCGCTGAACCGATTTAGATGATATTTGAATATATATTATTTTTTAAAGTCCTAAAGGTACTTACTTTTCTATACCTATGTATATATTAACTTTAATCATTTAATTTGTGAAGAAAAACAAATAAATAAAAAAACAGAAACAACAAACATGGCTATAACTTTAAATGTCGTTTCTTTGTGTTTCAGGTGTTCGTCTGGCCGGGTGTGCGTGTGATGGAGGACGAAGGAAGGAAGAAAGGAAAGAATCGGGATATTGTGGGTGCGCGCGCGATGGCTAGGTGCGCTCTTTTGTGACGTCTCATCGTTTGAAACTTTATTATTATAAAATATATATTATAACGCTGTCAGAAATATTTGTTAGCCCTGAAAAGGGCTTTTTGTCGTGCTGTTATGCACACTGCATTCCGACGCTCCCGACGGCGTAGAGACGTCGCGGTGTCTTGTGTCGCGAGAGATGGCACGCAGCAGATTTTACGAAGCGTGTGTGATGCGAGGATACATTACTTCTTCGAAGCTGCGGCGGCTTTCTTGGCGGCGGGCTTCGACCTGGGCGTCGCGGCGGCGGCGGCCTTCTTCGGTTTGGGGGCTTTAGGTTTCTTGGTCGGCGGCTTGGCGGTCTTCTTCGCCTTGGAGGCGGCTCCCGCCTTCGCCTTGGAGGACGCCGCGGACGCGGAAGCGGCGGCGGCTGCCTTCTTGGCCGCCGCGGAGGCGGCCGCCGGCTTCTTCTTGGCCGCGGCGGCCTTCTTGTCCTTTATGGTAGCCTTCGGTTTCGCCTTCGACGGCGAAGCGGCGGCAGCCTTCTTGCCGCCCCTGGCGCCGGCCGAAGCGGCGGACGCCTTCTTAGATTTAGCACCGGAAGCGGCGCCGCCGGCCGCAGCAGCTGAGGCGGCCTTACCGCCGGCCGCAGACTGCTTGCTCTTGGACGCGGACGATTTAGACTCCAGTTTGAAACTACCCGATGCGCCCTTACCTTTGGTCTGTATGAGGGCGCCGGATTCGACGGCGCTCTTCAGATACTTCCTTATGAACGGCGCCAGTTTCTCGGCGTCCACCTTGTACTGAGCGGCTATATATTTCTTGATCGCTTGCAGGGAGGATCCGCTGCGCTCCTTCAGCTCTTTGATGGCGCTGTTCACCATCTCCGAGGTCTTCGGGTGCGTCGGCTTCGCCTTAGGCTTCTTGGCGGCGGCGCCGCCTGCGGCCGCCGCGGACGCCTTTGGTTTCTTCGCGGGCGTCGCCGGGGCGGGGGCTTCGGATGCGACTGCGGTATCGGCCATTTTTCTTCTTCTGTTTATTATATTTATAGTTGATATAATAATCGTGTACAAAACGCACACAGAGCACACACACACACACACACAAAACTAACTTAACTGCACGCGAGAGTCACGACGAGAACACTGTACTAGTATAGTGATAGCGACGAGCTAGCGAGTATGTACGTGGGGATACGTGTACGCGCCGGCGTAGAGGTCGCTAGTGGCAGTAAGGGTACGAGCAATACCGTAAGGAGAGCCGCGATGTCGCTAGACATTTTCTCGTACGAACACTTAAAACTTTTCACTAACACGTATCCCGTTAATTATGTTTTATATGTTATTTCGAGACCCGATCGAATCGCTGAACCCTAGTTTCGTTTAATTTTGAACCTGTCCACGTACCCAGAGGCCCAACGAGACGTTCGGATGCGACGCTAGGTCGCCGAGGACGTTTAAAATCGTCGAGGTGCTAGTCGCGTACCTCGGGTCCAGTTTAAAAGTTATTTTTCTCTATAAGACAATATTAAAACGTTTCGATTTATCGACAGATCGAAGGCGAAGAATACTCGCCGACGTGGTGCTGACGCGCACCGGGGACATCGAAAATTTGACACGATTTCGAGGACCTCCAAGTCGAGCCTCGTAAAACACTAAGCGACCGCACATGGACGGCGGACCGACGCATCGGTGGGTTGATATTATGATGATTTTTCCTTCGAACTATAACAATACAATATATCTTTTAATATAACAAATAAAACATCTTTCAGATTGATCGACCTACGCGTCTACGTGAGAATTACCTACGTTATTCTACGTCTCCGAAAAGAAGAAACCGAACGGAGGGCGTACTACGCACTCCGTCGCAGCGCGGAATGCTAGAACGCGGGGCTCGAGTACTACTAGCATTAGAGTGTGTCAGGCGTGTATGTATGTTTTATGTTTTTAAATTATTATTATTATTATTATAACGACGATTCTATTTTGACGGAAATTAATAGATTTTTAATGTACACGCGGTGGTCTCGATATGTAGACATATTACGATCATATAAGTGTGTTTATAAAATTACACACATTATTCAATCGTAATACTACTTATCGTACGCAATGAATACAATAATAATATTCTCCATCCATTCCATCCGTCCGTCCGAAGCTCTTTACTTAGTTACAGTAAAATAATGTATAGAGCGTTCGTTTGTCCACAATATAACTATATTATATTATGAGCTTACTATTATAAATTTTTTTCTATTATATTATTTATCTATTATATTTAAAATAAAAGTGTTCTTATGCAACGGTCGCAGAGAAAGAATGTGTCCATCATCATCGTCATCGCACACACCACCTCGAAGACACCGCCCCGTCCGCATGCTGCGTGCGTGCGTTCGTTCGTATATCTCCAACTGGTCGTACGACAACGAAAGTCTCGGTGCGTAGGAATATAATGCAGGTATGTATGTATGTATGTGAATATCTTCTATACATAGTATTTACATATATACATAATAAAATTGTAACTAAGTCGAATCTGTACATTAAATATTTTTTTTGGAAAATGTAATTGAAATAGACATTATTATCAATACAATTGGATAGTTTTTACCTAAGAATTTGGTTATTATTATATCCCCCCCTCTCTCGTCAGATTTGCTCACCGCGCAAACGTCAATTGTTGTGTGTAATCGTTTCGATGAATCGTGGTTTATTTATAGCGTAGGTTTTTTTTTTTTTCCATTTGTATAATAAATATTTATATGACTAATGATAATTAATGTGAATGCGAGAGACGTCCAATGTAACGTAAGAAACATTATGTAGGACAACAGAAACTTATGCGGCCCTGAAAAGGGCCTTTTTTATTTTTAGAATTGTCGAGCGACGACCGGGTGGGTCGTTCGTTGGTGGTGGTGGTGGTGGTGACCGCCCGCCCGACCGCCGCTGTCGTCTAGCAGTCACACTACTTGCGCTTAACCGCCGAAACCGTACAGAGTGCGGCCCTGACGCTTCAGCGCGTAGACAACGTCCATCGCGGTGACGGTCTTCCTCTTGGCGTGCTCAGTGTAGGTGACGGCGTCGCGGATCACGTTCTCGAGGAACACTTTGAGTACGCCGCGGGTCTCCTCGTATATCAGACCGGATATACGTTTCACGCCGCCTCTGCGCGCCAGACGACGGATAGCGGGCTTGGTGATACCCTGGATGTTGTCACGGAGCACCTTCCTGTGGCGCTTGGCACCACCTTTTCCCAATCCCTTTCCACCTTTACCGCGACCGGTCATCTTGAGCGACTTCTGTTAGTACAATAATATATCCACACACACAAACCAACGCACAGCGACAGCCGTAGATACGTCCGAACGGAGCAAAACACGTAGCACTTGTGAATTTCGAAATGCGGTTACGTCCCCTTTTATATACTATCGCACCGTGCCCGCGATACGACTCTGCGTCGTCCACGTTCGACAAAGTTCGTCGACGTAGCGGTTAAGGGGAAGAGGTGATGCACATGCTCTTGTTGTTCAAATTAAACGTAGTATATTGTAAAATATGTATTAATAATAATGCTCGCGTAAATATATCGCGAACAATAATACCTTCACATCATACATCATAAAATATAGCTCGTTTTAATATATAGATAATAATAATTTTATATTTATACTGCGTATGTGTTTATCTACAATAATAAAGTCTAGTTCATTTGTTTTAAGTTATCCCCCGTTAAAATTGAGTAAATATGTATGTATGTTATAATATTACTTTTATTTTTCTTATACATACAATATAATAATAATAATAATTCATTTCGACCGCTATCGTAGCGTGTGTACGCGTCGTTAGGACGAACGTACACATAATTTCCGTGTAACGAATTTTTGTCATATTCATATTATATAAAACCAATAAAGTAAGTATGTATACGTAACGTTATTCTTTTAATAATAATTATTTATTTATATGAGCACCTATAGATTAGAGAGTAGACCAGTGGCGTGGTCTTGTGTTCATTTATTATGTTGAACAATATTCTGTTCCATTGTGTACATAATGTATGTATGTTTGTATATATATATATATATATATATATATATATATATATATATATATATATAAAATGTAATAATATTATAACTAAGACGAACTCTGTGTACACGTATGAAACCAAATTTTAATACAGATTAATTTGTGGCCCTGAAAAGGGCCTTTTTATACAATAATAACAACAACAATTCACCGAACGAACGTTCGCATACATTGGAATTATCATCATTATTATCGCGTTGCGCGTTCGTTTAGGCGCGTTCTCCGCGGATCCTGCGAGCCAGCTGAATGTCCTTGGGCATGATGGTGACACGCTTGGCGTGGATCGCGCACAGATTGGTGTCCTCGAACAGACTGACCAGATAGGCCTCGCTGGCCTCCTGGAGGGCCATCACGGCGGAGCTCTGGAAACGCAAGTCCGTCTTGAAGTCCTGGGCGATCTCGCGCACAAGACGCTGGAACGGCAGCTTGCGGATGAGGAGCTCGGTGCTCTTCTGGTAGCGACGGATCTCACGGAGTGCGACGGTTCCGGGCCTGTATCTGTGCGGCTTCTTGACTCCGCCGGTGGCCGGTGCGCTCTTACGCGCAGCCTTAGTGGCGAGCTGTTTACGGGGCGCCTTGCCACCGGTAGATTTACGGGCAGTCTGCTTTGTACGGGCCATCTCTCACTCGCTGACACTACACGAATAGTTTGAAATCGGTTATCAGTTACGTACGGTACGCACTACACGCTCGTCACGACGGTCGGGGTACGAATACTTATAAAACATGCAGAGATCGCCTCTTTATAGAGCTCTATATATATCTCCGTCTCGTTCTAGGGCGCGAGAATACCGAAATGTTACGAACGAACGAACGAACGAATACGTGCGGATATGTATGTATGTATGTATGATTGTATGTTGTAGAAATAATAATTATACAGTAAGTTAATTATTTAGGAGAGATTTCTTTAGGAAAAGAGAGAAAAAAATAATAATAATAAAATAAAAATCGGAGTCGGGCAGTCGGGCGCGGGCGGGCTCGGTGTGTGTGATAAGATACAGATCAGTGTCTGCCGCCTGTGCGTGAATTTTCGAACGATGTATGCATGCATGTATTTAAAATTGATTGATTGCCGGTTTTTGTATATTACTTAATGTATGTATGAGTTTGGTGATATGTGTGGAATTTTTCGGTTGTGTCGTCGTGTTTTAATGAAATTGTGATTATTAGGTACGGCTATATCTATAATATGTATACACTATATTATTTACTTTATCTTGGAGCGTAACATCCGGTCTATTGTAATGGATGGTTTTCTTTTTGTCTGTCAGTATAGCACGGTCTGTAATTTGTATTTTCGAGAACGGAATTTGGTGTGTATTTGTATAAGTATATAGTGTGTATGTGTCTCTGGGATGAGTTTGTGTTTGATTGCTAATTTTTGGTGTATTATATTTACTTTCGACATTTTTATCATCTGCTATTTATTGTAGGTACTTTAATCATATATATTTTCGTGGAGGGAATGATAATAATATTATGTTTGGGTCATTAGGGGCTAGTGCGTGCGCGCGCGCGGCATTTTAAGTAATTACCTAACGATAATGATTATTCCTAAAATCCCTCTAATAATATTGTTTATCATTGATTCACGTCAACATGTAAACGATCAATGTTTTTGGAATATCATTATTATTATCATCGTCATAATCAATTTCATAACGAACAAAAAGAATAATATATTATATGCCCATTTATGATGAGTCAGGAGAGGGAGAGACGTGTTCGTGAAACTGTACAAAATATGAATTGTTTTGTGGCCCTGAAAAGGGCCTTTTTGTAAAGAAATGATGCGCGCACGTACAATGACGACGACACGACCATTTACTTCGAGCTGGTGTATTTGGTGACCGCTTTGGTGCCTTCGCTGACCGCGTGCTTCGCCAACTCACCGGGGAGCAGGAGCCTCACGGAGGTCTGCA